TGGAATCTTCTCTTCATTTCACATATTTTGTTCAATTCTCACACCAAACAGAATACAGTATTTCTGGGGAACTTGTTCTGTTCAAATTACTTGGAAAAGGTAGTCTGCTAGATCTTCCAAAAATTGACTAGGTGATTCACCTGCCTTTCAATCAGATAAAACTTTCTGACAAAAACTTTAACAAAAATGCACATCTACAAACGCACTGGCCCTCAAAACATACAATTATTTCTACTCCCACATGTGACTCATAGGTAAGGGTTCATTTACCTCCCAGGTTACCTCTCCCCTAACCTCCTGAGCTTCCACTTCCCAAGTGCAAAACGAAGATAAATTTTTTTACCAAGTGTATTGGTGCTTGACAAAGACCTCATGAAGTGGCTGATCAATAAAAAAAAAAACTATTTTAACTATTTTTACTTTTCCATCCCTAAAGCTGTATGATTTCACCACTACCTGTCCATCAATCATGCTCAGTCTTCACTGTGCATCAAAACCACTGGGGAAGAGGGTGGGGTAAAATTCCACTTTGTCTAGACCCTGTTGGCACTTAGGTTCACTTGGTAGAGATTGGGCCCTGCATCAGAATTAATTTTAAAGCTCCAAGGCTGATTATAATGTCCAGCCAGGATGAAGAACCACAGATGGGTCTTCAGGCATCCACGGTTATACACACACCTGTGAAGTCCCAAGGCTTTCTGAGCCAATCAGCGCCGCCTGCCTTCCTTCCAGCCTCGGGGACAAATGAGGCCCTGAATGCGGTGATGACGACGAACCAAATACTGCTCTTGAGGACCCAAGGCAACTGATTCCACACGGTAGAGCCTTGCCTCCCCCGTGACAGTTCCGGTGGGGAACCTTGACCCTTCCCCGAGCCCCCGCAGCGCCCACACCCAGCCCCCTCCCGCCCCCAGCACGTGACTCGACACGCGTCAGCTGCACGCGGACTCCATCAAAACAAAAACAGAGGAGCCAGCCGGGTGGCAGCGGGAGCGCGCGGGGGCGGCAGTGAGCGGCGCGCGCTCCCGTCACTGCCCAGTGCCGCGACCGCGCCCCCAGCGCCACCGGCCGCGCGCCCCGGCAGTTGGGGGCGGGAGGGCAGAGGGCGCCACCCTGTTTACCGCCGGGCCCCGCCCGCGCCTGCGCTCCCGGCCCGGAAACGGTCTCCCCGGAGCTAGCTGGAGCGCTAGCGCGCACCCACCCGCCGCACGGCCCTGGGCGCTGCGTGGGAGGCGCCCGGCCCCGCCGAGCCCCCCCCATCTGCTGCGTGTCACCCCCGTCACGACTCTGCTACGCACTTCGCCCCCAGCTTGCAGCTCCGGCGCTTCTGCAGACCCCCTCACGTGGCTGCCTCCTCCCTGACACCTCGCTCTGGGGTGGCGAGCCCCAGCGTCCAGGGACCCCCCCGCCTCGGTTATCACCCTTTGGGGACCACCAAACCCCCACTCTGCGCCCTGAGCGCACGCGACGAGGGGAGCGTGGAGAGGGCCAGCGCTGTCAGGAGCCCACAGGGTTCCACATGACGGAGCTCCGAGCTCACCGCACCGTCGTCATCGCCCCTCACGCAGCAGCCCAGCCGTGAGCTCAGAGACGTGTCAAGCGGCGCGGGGCTGGGGGGGGGGTCCTTGATTTTTCTTCCTCATTTTAAACACCCCTTCCCCCAAAAAACCCCAAGTCGCAACTCTACCCACGCGCTCACTCAGCCACCCCATGTCACCTTACACACGAGAGACTTAGCAACCAGAAATGCCCCCCCCCACACACCTGCGAGGTAACCTGCCTTCTGGAGCTGGAGCCCCACCCACCCCCGCTGGGCTGGGGTGCAAGCAACAGGGTCCGCGTCCCCACGCCTCGGGCAAGGGAGAGCGAGGCAGCCCCTCGCCCCGCCCGGCACACCGCGCTGCACCCTCCCGTCCCTCGTCTCCGGAGCGAACCTAGGCATCCGGCGTCCCTCCGGCAGAAGAGACCAAGTCAGCGGTCCGGCTCCGAGGGAGAAGACGCCCCCTGCCCGCATTTCCCGCCGCCGCCTCGGCCACGGCCACGGTGGGAGACGGGAGGAAGGCGGAGTTGGGGATGTTGGTCTCGGCGGAGTGAAGAGGTGGGATCTCGAAATGGAAACAGCCCCCCCTCCCCGCGCGCCCTCCCCCTCCTCCTCCCCCTCTCCTCCTCCTCCTCCTCCTCTTCTGTTTACCTCAAGTTTGAATTTTATCTGCGCAACATTAGCTGGAATGCGGACATAGAAAAAAACCACACAACTCCCTCAAGCCGGCAGCGGCTCCGGAGGAGCCATGTGGCACCCAGCCACCGCCAAGGGGAAAAAGTGCTCTTAGCAACACAAACATGGCGAAACAGCTCCGACATGCCCAGTTCGCGCAGCAGCCCTGCCTTCCCTCGCCCTTCTGCCCCACATCCCGGCAGGAACCGCGGACCCTTCCCGGGGCCCAAGAGGGCTCCCCGGAGCCTGAGGGTGGGAACCCAGGTCAGACTAGGGGGGGATGAACCAGAGTCCACCCGGGAAATATTGCGGGTTGGCGACCGTACCCTTCAACCTGGCTGGGCGTAAAAACACCTTGGTCACATACCCCTCCCCTGGGATCCAAGCGACCACCAAATGGCTATCCCCCGGCCCGCTAGACCAGCTTTCCCCACCTCACGGAACTTACCTCCGGCTCTGGCTGAGCACAGGCTGCGGCGATCCCTGTTCTGGTTCGTTCCCAGCCAGGCGAGAAGAGAAAATGATGCGCACGTAGATTCTTCCAGAATTTCCCCATCGGTGATCACGAGACTTGGGAGACAGGTGCTGGGCTGGCCGAGGCTGCCGGCTAAAAGTTGTCTGTGCGGTGGGCGGCGGGGTCCCCAGGCCAGGGCCGAGGACCCCCGTTCCCTGCCCCCCTCCGTTGTCGCCCACTTGTCACGCCAGGCTGCTGCGTGCGCTCGGCTGCAGGGGAGGTGGCGTAGTTTCTCTTCCTCCCACCTCTTCTCACTCACTTGTTTTCGTAGCCGTGGGCTCTCCTAATGCTTTCCTCTCCACAATGTTGTTTCATTATATCATGTCCATCATGTGACACCGGAGAGGCCTCTCTATGGAAACTTAAAGGGGCTCCCACGTGACTGCAGCAACAACAGCAGCAGGACTGGCGGAGGCCTCGGCGATCGTACCACCACCCACCAGGAGCCCCTCGCAGCATCCCGAAGGGGCTTCTGGCGCTGCAGAAGCCCAGATAAGGGAGCCACAGCATCCGGGAGCTGTGGCGTCGGTGAGTGCGTGGAGCCCGTGCTCATTACACAGCAAGCTGAACAGAAGGAGCGTCCTTAAATCCTTTCCTACAGTCACAAAACCCACGCTCTGTTAAAATGACATTTCATGGCTCCTACTTTATTTCCCCCAAGAGCAATGAGTTTTCTACCAGACCCGATTAAATTTTACAAAGTCAAAAAAGAAAAATTGGATCTGTTCCTCTGCAAGTCAGTCATAGACCGCTGGCAGAACAGAAATGCCTAAACAACAACGAAAACAGTGAAGCATTTGATAATTACTCTCACCAATTGTAAGGCTTTCTGGAATTACATTCCTCTGGTAACTGTTGAAGATGTTCGCAGGAGGCAAGTGCAATGCAGTTTTTTTCTTTTCCGAAGCTATATTAGGGCTTTGTTGCTGACAACAGTAAAAAGTTGTTTGTGTCAGGAAGTGAGGTATGAAGATAGGACCTGCAAGGTAGAAACAATACCGAAGTGGCAGTTTTTGCATTCCTTTGACCCACTCTTTCAAATGGTGACAAGAGCACTGTCTGCTGTAACGCGAGCGGTGTTTGGTAGGACATAGTCATTAGGAAAGCATTCTTATCCTTTAAATCATACTGTGCCTGCTAAGCACAAGAGATTAAATATACATATGTGTATACGTGTGTAGAGGAGTATGTGCATTTTTATGATGTTTTGAGCCACTAATCTTGGCCTGGTTTCTAGCATTTAACTGAAATATTTAACAAACAACTTTGAAAGACTTAGAAGTCCTGTGATGTGCTGAAGCTGTAACAGTATTGAGTATTTCCAGTATTACTGACTCACAACCCCCATAGGGGTTTCTACTTTAAATTCTAATGTTCTGTCTTCAAGTTTTTATGGGGCATGGGGATTTTATCCTGTAAATCTATGCTATATTACTGTTACTTAATTTTGGTTTATACCCTTCCATTTATCTAAGGAAAACTGGACTAGGGGAAATTAGGGAGAAAATTCCAAAGAACTCTAGAGTAGGATGGAACATTATCCTTTCTTAGGGCCTTGCCTTGAATATCTCTTCTACCTCATTTGCCATGATAATCACTATAACTCTTCTAATTCTATAAATCCTCTAAGTTTTACTTTCCAATCTCATGCCTAATTCTTCTATCCCTTTCCTCTTTTCAGTTCTAGTCTCCCTTTTCTGCCTGGGTCTGAGTTCAGCTCTGGCCTCCCCTAATACTTGTTCCTAATCTTTCCCTTCCAGCAGGGCCCCCATCCCCTCTTCCTTGGTTTCTTCTCCAGAACTCTTTTCTCCTTACCTTTCTTGGACCGCCTTTAAAATTCTCCAGGTCTGGACCTCGACTTGGGGGGTGGGGGAGGCTTTTACCTTCTTTATCTGAAACAGCCTGCCCCTTACAGGGGTCTCCTTCACGCCCTCCTCTCTGGTCCCCTCTCCCAACTGAGATCAAACCCCAGCATTTCTCCAGGGCTTGGCCTAGTCAGCTGGAGCTTCATTTTGTGTTCGTGCCCCTGGGCCCGTACTCCTGGGCTGGGAAGGAGTGTGTGATCCCCGAGGGACCACGGCGGATCCCTTGGGCTGGGATCCCTAGCTCGCCCCCTGCGCCCCTCCCGGTCTCGGGTTGAGAAGCTTCCTGGGTGGATGGTTTGGACTTGATGCCGCAGCTGCGGTTCTGCTGTGTCATGCAAGCAAGCAAGCGGCGGCGGCGGCGGCGGCGGCGGCAGCGGCGGCGGCAGTAGCGGCCAGAGCTCCAGGGGGAGGAGGGGAGGAACCTGATCCTCCGGTAGAGAAGGGCTGAGGCAAACATCGAGCTCCCCCAGAGCCACCCAGGAGCTGGGAGGGCTCGGCTACCCCGGGGGGCCCTCCCTGCGGGGCAGAGGGTAAGTGGGGCGGCACAGGTGGTCGCCTTGGGAAGGGAGTGCGCAGGGGGGTTAGGTGGGGGAGGCGGGAGCTTCAGGAGCCACACTGGCCCAAGTGAAGGAACTCAGAGTTCAGCTGAAAGGGACCTAGACTATAATAAGGGACCCAACCCGAAGCAGCAATAATTATTATTCTAATAACACCCTGCGGCCGACCGGGCTACACAGTGTGGAGTTCTGTATCCCCACTCTGGATTGACTGGAAACAATGATTAGGGACTGGAGAACCATCATACTAGCAATCCAGGTGCTTTAAGTTACCCTTGGATCGAAGAATCCAAACAGATCCCATATTCCTCCAGCTTTGCTGAGATTTCTGGGTTGCCATCTTCAAAACTAGGCAAGGGGATGGGAAACCTGCCCAAACTCACTTTACCTATGAAAATAATGCTCTTGGCCAAGGGCCCTAGACAAACAGCCTCTGGTGCAATTAAACAATCAATAGGCAAAAGAGCTTCACCCTCCCTCCTACCCTAAAGCTCTTTCAACCTGGGATGGAACTTCACTGGACTTAAAGGAGGAAGAAAATGTGTTACATTCCCTTCCACCCAATCCCAGTCAGCCTGTCCACCACCCAAATCGCACACCCCATCTTCAGAGATACGCTTCTGACAGATGCTGCACTACTGCATGGAAACCAACTGAAACTCAGAACAATTTCACCTCCTTTACCCTTTGCCTTTTGCCCATAGGGGATTCAGAAACGTAGCAGACCATTACTTCTTTCACCTGTGTATAATTCTCAGGACAGCTATTATTATTATTATTATTCCTTGTCATTTCTCTCCTAGACATTTCAGAAAGCACTTCTGAAATGTGCTTTTCTTTTTTAATGTCAGTCATACATTTAAAAGTAAAGGGTTGAGGGGGATTAACTGAAAGGCTAATGACTGTCTCAAAAGCACATATGGTTGCTAGGGAACTCAAACTCATCCAGCTCTAATCACCACTGGGTTCTGTGGAAATCAAACCGCTCAGTGTTATTAAAATGAATGGCATTTAGTTCAAGGCTTTCTTGTTTCTGTTGTAGCATCCTGGATTATTATCGATTGCCTCACACCCACATATCTTGTTTTCCAAATTTGATTTCTGTATTTGCGTCACAAACAGGGACACTCATGACTAGACCAGTCAGGTTCACTTCCTGTTTCTCAGAACTCGTTTATATTTGGTCTCGGAGCACTAGCTGGTAAAATATCACACTGGTTCTCTTCAAAGAAATTTTTAACTTTCCACTAATAGCAAATTACCCCAATTAAGTGCTAATTCACATAGAAAAACATCATCATTTCAGGAGTAAGGTAGACTGTCAGTCAACTTTAGTAGCCACTTCAGAAAACTAGTCTTGAAATGTAAAGCCTAGAAAAACCCATGATCTTTATTTCTTTTCCTCCACAATTGTCATTCTTCAGCATTGGAATTAAACAAACTAAGGTAGAAAAAGAGATTTAAGTGTGATATTTCTAAAATGAAGTGCATGTGCACATGCACGCGCTCGCACACACACACATACACACACACACACACACACACTATACACTGAAGCTGGAGGAATTGTTTTGACTAAATAAGGCATAGAACTGAAAGGAATCCGGGCCCAGGAAGGAAGAATAAGCTTGGGCTACTCTGTGACACTGGTAGCACAAAGTGAAATTATAAGGCCATCCTTCCCTACTTGTTTCAAGACCTTTTTCCTATGGTTAGGTTTCTATTATAATAGATAATCCCTCTACTTGGTGTACTGAAAGTTTCTGACCAGTGCCCCAATGTCCTAGAACCAGGTAACCTTGCTCTTCTCCCCCCAGTTCCTTCTTTGTAACAAGGATATCACAAAGGCAATAACATAAAGATATGACTATTTAATAGTTCGGTTTAGATGGGGAAAAACAAGGGCTAGGAACAACAATGGCTAGACAAATCCTGGGTTCAATCCTCAGCACTAAAAATAAAGTACTGGCCTAAGGGTTTCTTAAATTTTCTTGCATTTACAAAATCCTGCTTTTGGACTGAACTCATTACATAACTTCAATTTTAGCTGCATTTTGATTTTGTACTGTGTTAGATCATGGTGATACAAAACAACAGTCTCTGCCCTACAGGATCTTATAATGAAGAACCAGTGAGTACACAGTTGATCACATAACAGTGAGGTGCTATTTACATGTGATCTCATAGGAGAAACCTAACCATAGGAAACAGGTCTTGAAACAAGTAGGGAAGGATGAGTAGAAGCCACCCAGCTAAGTGGGAAAGTTAAAGGAATGGTATTTTAGGGAAGAGAATATTGTGAAGTTCTTGACGTTAAATAGTATATCAAAGGAACCAGCATAAAAAACAGTGCTCAGGAGGAAGCTTCTCCATAAATATTTTATTTTATGCATAGCACAAGTCCTGAAGTCTAGTCCTGAAGGCTATCTAGAAAGATTAACATGGTCTTATATTGTGAAAGGTTTTGTCTAAGAAGTTTGAACTTATCTAAAGGCCAATGGAAAGCCATTGATTTTTTTATGTGTGGTTGTTTTTTGTTGTTGTTGTTTTTTGGTCAGTAATGGAGTTTGAATTTAGGGCCTGAGTGCTGTCCCTGAGTTCTTCTGCTCAAGGCTAGTGCTCTACCACTTTGAGCCACAGCTCTATTTTCAGTTTTCGGGTGGATAACTGGAGATAAGAGTCTCATGTCTTTGCTGCCTAGGTTGGCTTTGAACCGTGATCCTCAGATCCTGAGTAGCTAGGGTTACAGGCATGAATCACCAGCACACCTGGTGATTTTTAAGTGATTAGAGGTCCATTTTAGAAAGATCATTCCAGTTTAGAGAATTTAATAGTAACACTATTAAGCAGGGAGAGTAGTTAGGATATTGTTTGAGCATTATAAAAGCAAACAGACTTCTAAGACAGCAAGACTAGAAATAGCAGGAAGAGAAGGATTCAATAAATACTTAAAACAACTGGATTTGATTATTGATTATATTTGAAGGACTGAGAAATGGAAAGAAATGTAAGGCTTAGGTAAATGGAAGGATGGGTATATCATTCATCACAATGGGAAAATCAAGAAGAAAAGCAGGTTATGGAAAGAAGGTAATTAGTTTACATATAAACATGTTGAGTTTCAAGTGTCCATGAGATGTCAAAGTGAAGCTGTCTACTACATAATTAAATAGATCTGGAGTCATCTAAATAGATGAGAGTTCATGGATATAGATGGAACTCAATGAGAAGATATACAGGAAGAAAAAGAGGAGGACCTACTATGGAATCCTATTGAAATGCCAACATTTTAAAACATGAGGACAGAAGGATACAGGGGAAGAATATCCAGAGTCAGGAGGACCAGAAAAGCCGAAGGAATTTATATCAACAATATTAGCCCTAGCTGAAAGTCAAGAAAGAAGAATTTAAAGTCCAAGGAGGCCATTGGTTTATTTGCTAAGAAAGATATTGGTAAAGGGAAGACAGAAACCAGATGGCAGTGAGTTGAGGACATGAGAATAGAGGAAGTAGCTAGAGGAAGTTCTTTGAGATAAGTAGAAAAGCCAGCCCTGGTGGCACGTGCCTGTAATCCTAGCTACTCAAGAGGCTGAGATCTGAGGATTGCAATTTGAAGCCAGGTGGAGAAGGAAACTCTTTCGATCAATCACCAAAATGCCAGAAGTGGAGTTATGGCTCAAGTGATAAAGCAGAGTTAGCCCTGAGCAAAATAGCTCAGGGATAGCTCCTATGCCTGAGTTGAAGCATCTAGGACTGGGAGACAGAAAGAGAGGAGAGAGAGAGAAAGTGAGAGAGAGGAAAAGAAAAGGAATGGAGATAAGTAGGGAGGGAAATAAATGTGTGTCAGAAAATACTTAAATTTATGGTATGTGAGGTTAAAAATTATATAGGGGAAAAAAGAAATAATAAAAAATCTTGGATTCTTTTACTATTTTTCATAGCATTATTACCTATCAATGGCTCAAGCCAAAGAGCATGCAGACATTCTTGATTCCTCTCTGAAGGTACTGAGGTTTTGTATCCAATCCATGAAGAATTCAGGTCAAGTCTTCCTCCAAAACATTTCCAAAATCTGTCTCTATTGCTACCACTATTCTAATCCAAGACACTATCCTTTTTCTTCTTTGCACCAATAATAGCTTAAATGGCTTTTCTGCTTCCATACTTGCCCCTATTCATCAAAGCACAGCTAAATACATAGATAATGCATCATAAAACATAAAGCACAAGCCGAGTGCTGGTGGCTCACACCTGTAATCTTAGCTATTCAGGAGGCTGAGATAAGAGGATCGAGGTTCAAAGCCAGCCCAGGCAGGAAAGTCCGAGACACTCTTATCTCCAATAAACAACTAGAAAACAAGAAGTGGAGCTATGGCTCAAGTAGTAGAGTGCTCGCCTTGAGCTGAAGAGCACAGGGACAGTGCCCAAGCCCAGAGTTCAAGCCCCAGGACCAACCAAAAAACAAAACAAAACAAAAAAACCATAAATCACAGTGCTCACCTTTTCACAAGAAACATACAAGTTATAATTGCAATGAGAGGTATTTATATATCAAGTTCACAAAAATCCTAAAATTTAATAGCAAACTTAGGTGGGCAGATGGGGAAGTAAGCATGTTCCTACACAAGAAGTAGGAGGGAAAGTTCGTACAATGTTTGTGAAGGACAAGTTGGCAGTTAATTGCATTTTAAATATACAAAGCCTTTGACCTAGTAACTCTGCTTTTACATATTTACCAAATAGATTCACACATATATGGAAGGATGACTCCTTCAGGACCCTCACCAAAGCATTATTTATATCATTAAAATTGGAAAACAACCATCAATGGAGAAGTGGTTAAATAAATTACAGCAGAGCTCTATATATGAAAGATAGGCAGTTGGTAAAATTTGTGAGGCACTTCCAGATATATTGATAAGGAAATATCTTAATACCTAAGTTTAAAAAAATTAAGACAAAGAACAACACAT